TCTTCCCTCCTCCTGCCCCTCCAGCCTTCCCCTCCCAACCCATTCCCCATTTCCTCTTACAAGAAGTTAAGGCCTCCCATGGGTAGATACACTTAGTAGAGGCAACTCCAAGCCCACCCCCCCTTTGCCTCAAGGCTGTGCAAAGGTGTCCCATCATAGGTAGGGGACTCCAAAATGCCTACTCTTGCACCAGGGATGGATTCTGACCCTACTGCCAGGGGACCCCTTACACAGATCAAGCTACACAACTGTCTCGCTATTCAGAGGGCCTAGTCAAGTCCCAGGCAGGCTCCATAGCTGTTGATCTAAATTTCATGAGTTCCCACTAGTTGGGTTTGGTTGTCTCTGTAGGTTTCCCCATCATGATCTTAATGCCCTTGCTCATAGAATTCTTCTTCTCTCTCTGACTGGACTCCTGGAATTCAGCCTGGTGTTTGGCTGTGGATCTCTGCATTTGCTTCCATCAGTTACTGGAGAAAGGCTCTAATGATGACAGGGTATTCCCCCCTCTGATTACTGGGGTAAGCCAGTTCAGGTACCTTCTCCATGACTGCTGAGGTCATTTGGGGCTGGAGAGATGGCTCAGTTGTTAAAGGCTAGGCTCATAACCAAAAATATAAGAGGGTAGATGTTTCTGCTCCAAATAATCTGATTAAGACAATCCTTCCCAGGCAGGAGTGCTCAGCAGTTTGGGTTCCAGTTAATTCCAGATGTGTCAAGTTGACAACCAAGATTAGCTATCACAAATAGTTATTAGTTAATATAATATGTGTAATTAAGTTGGGATAGTGTCAAAACTATTCATAGATTATTGATTTGATTCCACACATTTTTATTTAATTGCTGTGGTATCTAACTCCTACTCCCTCATTCCCCTTACAGAGGTAACCATAACTACTCATGGGAATTTTGGGGTACAATCCTCTTTAACTGACTGCAACCTGGTAAAAGGGTAATGGAGCAGAAAACACTATGATGTTCCCATTTTATCTTAAAGCATAACCTAATTTCATACTTTTGTTTACTTGCCTTCTTTTATAGACTTAGTACTATATCTTAGAGATTTATTTATTTTTAATTACATTTATTAGCATATAAACTCCATTAAGAGCAAGAAATTCTTATTTTGAATATAATTTTCTAAATAAACATTATCATTTTGTATTTTCCAAAATAAAAGATGGGACACATTTTAGTGATGAATTCTTATGTATTCCATTAATTTCACTCAATATACATGTATATTACAAAAGAGTATGTGTATATGTGATTTTAGCAAATTATATTTTACTTACTCTGTAGTATATAAAGTAGTCAAAGTTATGCATTATACTTCGTAGGTAGCTGTGGTGTTAAAACACAGCATATTTTACTTGCATGGAGATTTTTATTCCAAAAAGGTATTGAACATGACAATCTGACAATGTGTCCTTGGGATGCTGTCATTTCTTGTCTCAGATCGGCTGACAAGAAGTCAGGTGGCCTCTACAAGTTGTTTAAGAACACTTCCAAAACCATCTTATTGGCCATGTTCCAGCTGTCACTTGGGAAAACATGTGATCAATTGAGATCCACCGGCGCAGCAGGAAGCCAGTCATCTCACTTGCTCCAATAGAGCTTTTGTGGGGTAAAGGCCTTATCAAATTCCTTGGACATGAAGTTACTGTTGGAGCAGCTGTATTTCCTAACGATTTCATCACCAAGAAAGAAGCTGCAGCTCTTGAAAGGTCACATGCCCTAATAATGATCTAAATCATGCTGCTATTGTTAGGAAGAGAAGTGGAAATGGTTACATGGTGATACTGTCAAAACTCTGCCCACACACCTTCCGTTGGCGTTAAGCTGTATCCCATCATGTAAATCACAGCATCCCGATGTAATTGCAGATGCCTAGTTAAGAGATTAACAATAACCCTAACCTCATCCAGAACTTGGATTCACAGTGATGGATTCAAATCATAGAAATGGAAATGGATTGTGCAAAGGGCTTATGACATACATACACATAGACATATGTATGTGTATGTACATATGTCTCATAAAGAATAGTCCACTTGGTTAATAATGGAAAATAACTTGTATGCATTCTTCTTTGTTGATTACATAGAGAAAATAGATTTTAAATGAAGCATATCCTGCTAGCAGTTACCACTTGATTTGAATCCTAAAGAAGGCTGGGAAGATAAATCTTAAAACTCTATTGATGGGAAGGTTTTCAATATCATTTCTACAATATAAAAACAAAGGCTTGCAGACCATGAAAAGAACATAAGCTGTAATAATAGAATTACACTTTATTTAAAATGTGCTAAGGTATGTTTTAACTCACGTCTACCTGTAAAGTCAAAGATCTTACCAAAACAGTCAATGTTCCTAAGTCAGTTTGTAGGTGAAGCTAGTTTTAACATATGGATTTTCATAAACATATTAATCATCATTCCCTGGATGTCATTATAAAGAACTAGCTTCTCTCAGTGGTGCAGAGGGCAGACAATGCAAAGCTACTTGTCCAGACATACTTTGGGGAAGAAAGCATAAGTCCACCCTTGCTCTTTTGAATGCTGTTAATAGCCTGCTTCAGTAGAACAGAATCTTGTGACTTGTACTGATAAAAGAACTGGGATCTAGAATACATTGAGTGGTAGCCTAAATTCTCTTTGTAAAGTGCTTAATATGGTTTTCATAGAAGCTCAATAAACGTTCTCTTCGCCAGAAGACAAGAGAGGTGAACAGAGTCTTTAAGTAATTTATGTTTTAAAATGTCTAATGACTTGTCTCCTCTTCACATTCCCTTAGCTCTGCAGATTCTTTCATACCATATTAAAGAAAACTTTGTCATAAAATCCATGAAATAGGAAATAGCATTTATTAATGTTAACTAATGTATGTAATTGTGGTACCCTAAGCCAGAGGATGCTCATTAAGATGGTCTAGTCATTCACAACACACATCCCACTTTGAAAGCCACAGACGTGTTTATTCCTCCTGACCTCCATTTTGGACATAAGAAAAAGCAGGACTCTTCTCTAGAGTCAAAAATACTTGAGAGTATAAACTGAGTAATATATTAGAAGGATCTATTCCAGTGTTAAGTATATTTGGTAGTATAAACATAATCCTATGCACAAGAGTGTGTAAACAAGCATGTTCATAAGTTTCTATATCTGAAAAATGTAAGTTCTGAGATCATATGTCTTAAACTAATGATGTAGATACATTTTATACATTATCTGTTACTGGTGTTTCAGAAAACATTCCTTTGTGATTTCTTGTGTGGCTTTATTTCACTTAAAAATGGTTGGATTTGGTTATTTAAACCTTGACACATAAATGTGTGCCAACATTCTTTCTTAATGATTCAAGAATAGAAATGAAAAAAATGCCATAACATAATCTGGCAAATTTATCTTACTATTAAGCAGTGCTCTGTATTATTAGAGACATTAGCCTCTTCAATTGCATATATTTCTAACTGTTAAGTTATTTAAATGTCTCATTAAATATTTTATTGAATGTCTTTTCTTATATCTCATATGACTTTCTAATCTTAGCAAGTTTATCTTTGGGCATTTTGTAAAAGAAACATGAATTAGAAAGGGGGATGCATGCCATTGATACTGTGAGTTTCCTATGTGGCCCACACAAGTAGTTTCTGGGATTGTAGCAGAAACACCTTCTCACAGGCATGGCTTGCTATGTACTCTGTTCTCAGTCTCTTACAATTCTAGATCTAAATAGTTTGGAGAGGAGAATCTCTGCATATGCACTACTGTTTGTCTGATCACACTAAGAACATGGTGTTTCTTAGGAAAACAAACTGGTCCAAGAATTATTTCAGGAGTGTTATTATGGTGATTTAAAAAATTGTGAATTGTTAGTAAAATCGTGTTATCATTTATGTTTCACAGATGTTTATGTATTTGTATTGGTGGGTAAACGTGAGCCAGAGAGCCAAAATGTCCCTCCAATATTGCCTTCAATCTCCATGTCAATTTAGAATGAAGAACACGTTAAAGAGAAAAACACTACATTTTGTTGGTTTATTTAACGTTAGCCCAGGAAACACATTTCATATTGAGGATTTCTGTAGAGTTTCTTGCACATCCAGCTAGTGGTGTCATTAACTAGTTGTGCCAGCTTTGGGCACGTTTTCCACACTTGCTCTTTCTCTGGCTTTCTCTGATTGGTGTCTAAGAAGTTTATGACCGAAATTCTGACCACTAATCCAGTGGTATATCTCCTCATAATGGAGAAGATTTTTAAGAAATTCAGTGCTAAGTAAACACGACTGACTCAGATCCCCAATTTGGGTCTAAAATATAATGTTCTTGGGAGCAGAATTCACGATTCCACTCCCTCCGCTTCTCGTCAGTCTTAGGAGGTACAAGGAATTTATGACTCAGTGCTGTGGAATGATTATGAAACCAGGAAATTAAAAGGCTACCCTGAGTCCTGCCATGAGCTAGCAAAGGGACTGCTTTGATTATCTGTCAACAGTTGAGTTTTCAATTACCCTCTAGTCTACCAGTTTCTGTCTTCATGAAAGACACAAGATGTTTCCTGGTGGCAAGTCCCTATTGCTAGATAGTATCTCTATGCAGCCTCAGAAACGCAGGATGTGTGTCACCCTGGGCAGAAGTTTTATCATATCTAAAGAATTAGCTGCTTTCTTAGCACCTATATTTTTAGTAATGCAAGATGTTAGATATGTCTGTAGGTATTTAGTTTAATTTTTTAAATTTCTTTTATTTTGTATATATGAGTGTTTTGCCAACATATATGCACCGTGTGTGTGTGTGTGTGTGTGTGTGTGTGTGTGTGTGTTATCAGTGACAGTGTTATCAGCCTTGTGAACACATGAAGTGGGAACAGAGGATGCCTTGAAGCAGTGTGTGGTTACCCAGCTTATATGTTACTAATATTAAATGTTGATAATGACTTTAAAGCTATCTAACCCTTACATTTCCCTCCATGTCATCTATTTTCCATTTCTTTCCCAGGTTACCCTTAATAGTCACTCAGAAAGAATTTACTCAACTATAAAAGGTAGGAAAAAAATCTTTTCTTATTATAAATTTGTTTTAGTTGTTTTAAAATAGACCATCATAATTAAATATCTAGGATTGATCCTGCCTATTGTCAGTGGTGTGTATTTTCTCTACTTAATTGCTAAATTTGAATTAATCACAATCAGTGTTTGTCAGTTTGAGTATTTTTCTATTGTATTTGTTTGCTTTACGGAAGACATCATTTTGCTTTATATATGTAGACATTTCTTTTATTACATTCTCAATGATTTTATAGTACCTTGGCATACTATATATAATCTCCATGTATCAGGAACCTTCACAAACAGACAGACAGACAGATAGACGGAGATAGTGAGTAGCTCTTATGCACAATAATTTTATATTTTTCTTGCTATTCTATACCTAAACATTTTAAGGAAATGATGCAGACATACAACACACAAAAGCTAGTTGTGAATAATTTAACAACATAAATGTAAATTTGGAAGGATTTTCCTCAGTATTTACTTTGCTTAAAAACACTGAAAATACAGCCCTTCCCTTGGTTAGGGCGTACATGAAGATAAATTTAGAGTTTCTAGTCTAGTAAATACTTCTCTGATAATAACTTAATTGTAGCTATTTCAAAGCAAATTGGTTAATTGTGGTGAATCATATGCAGATTGCTCCGATGTAGGTCAACCCCCACTCCCACATTCTAGAACCTCTTTTCTAATTCAGGGCAGACTGCTTCATGCCTAAAAGAGCAGAAAAGTACAGATCAGAGACCTTGGAGAAAACTGAAACAATAACATCAATAACATAAAAGTTAACAGTGCACCAGGGGTCAGAGTGTTCCCATAAAAGTGGGAAGGTAGGCTGTGTTTATTTAGAGCTGGGTTAATGATTTCTTAGCTTTGTTATATTGTTGGGGAGAAGTTTACTCATTTGCCAAGATTTGTGGCCACCAAACCATGGCCTGTAAGATGATGCTTCTCAGTATGTAAAGTACATGTGGTGACATCATTCTTGGCAGCTCATTGAGATAAAATGAAGATCAAATTAAAGCAAACAGATAAACAAACAAAAAGAGGTTGGGGGTACTGTAAAATGACTCCTTAAGCCCCTATGGAAATACAGTTTCTTTCAGTGCTCTGAATGAATGATAGAAGAGTTGATCCCAGAAAAGCATATGCAGCTCCTGGCAAGGCCATCTGAGGGGTTGATGGGAGAACACCATGTGCCAACCATGCCGAAGCAGTCTGGGTGCAGGTGCAGAGCTCAGAGCTTTCTGTTGCTAGCTGTTGCATGCAGGTCTAGTCTACAGGTGTCTTTGTGCAGAAGTATTGTATTGTTGTCTAATGAATGGCCAAGCTCTCATGATACCTGTCACACTTTATATGTGCTGTTTGTTGTATTTCTCATAGAACATTTGATATCTGGTAATAAGTGTATTGCAAACTGAGATTTGGATGGTTACACTTATTGGCTTTTATCTTTGTGTGCCATTGCTGAATTTTTTGACATATTGAAAAAAGAAAAAAAAAAACATGAGCCTTGTTGTTTATTGATTAAAAACTACTTTTAGGCTTTAGTTCTAAGAAATTTAAAATTCTGCATTGATATGAACTTTTAAATTATTACTTTTAAATTATAACTGGAATTTGATTATTCTAGAGATAGAACTGGAGACTGATGCTGTAAATAGTCAATTATTTCCCTAGCATGCATATGGGTGTGGCTTCTCAGCTATAAAAAAAGAACCATTTATGCCTATAGGTAATTTAATCATTAAGGGTCTTTAAATATTGACATTTTCTGAATTATTACAAAGCAGTAATTTATTTAAAAAATTCTTTCTGTGAACTCAGAAAAAGATTCTTATTTTTAGTATTAATATGATGTTACTAAATTACATTTTAATAAATCTATTTGTTTGCAAAATAGATGATACATACTTTGCACCTCTAATGTAAACCCATGTTATGTGAATTACTTAAAATATGAAATAAAGAATTATACTGTATATGAAGTGACATTTCCCCAAAAGTTAGCTTACTAACATTTGATTGTTTTAGTATTTTGTCATGTCCATAAACAATAATAAAGGCAAATGGTACTTTCATTCTGTCTCCACAATTCTGAGCTTTTTCCTCTTTTAATTGTAGATCTCCATCCAAGTCAACAGTATCCATTTCCTCTTTATTAATGACTTGCATTAGATGATCTTTGGGTGTATCATAATTTATTTAATAGATCCTCTAAACATTGCTTTTAAAATAGAACTTTGAAATAAAACAGAGAGAAGCTTTCCTTAATTACACTCCTGGCAGACATACAAAAGAATAATTCCCATTTGTATATTGAATCAAGAAATTAAGGAGTGAAAAAAAATGTTTTTCAAGAGGCATAGAAAACAGTAATAGGTAAGAGTGCTTCTGTCAGAGGAAAGTAAATGGTATAGATAATCATGAAAATGTGTCATAAGTAGGTAAAATTGACAATCATCCAAATTCCTCAAGACTTACCACAATGCCGCCTCTTTCCATCAGCATTTAGAGATTTGTCTCTTTCTCTGTGATGGTCATTTGTCAGACCTCTCCATAGCAACTTCGGGGAAAAACTGAATTCATTTATAAAAATTAATTTGTATTTATCTTTTTGTCCACAGTAGGCTATTTGCCAAGAAGGTAATGACTATGTATTACTCATCTTTGAAATTAATGAATGCAGAATAAATATTCATTCAATTACATTGGGTTGAAATGAGACAAAAGAGAGTTATCAAGTAAAACTATTAAATAACCCATGTATTTTATAAGGTGCCATTTCTTGCCCTTCTATTATCTCTGGATTAAATTGTAATTCCTAATGGATTAGGCACAAAAATATAAACATATAGATTTTGATGTACAATGAAATTTATTTTGAATGAAATTTTCATGGTTCTTTTTGGTATTCATATATAAAATCATCCTAAAATGCAGCCAGGCAGTGGTGGTGCATGCCTTTAATCCCAGCATTCAGGAGGCAGAGCCAGGGGGATCTCTATGAGTTTGAGGCCAGCCCGGTCTACAGAGCAAGATCCAGGACAGGCACCAAAAACTACACAGAGAAACCCTGTCTCAAAATAAAAAAAAAAAAAAAAAAAAAAGATTATCCTAAAATATCATACATAAGATTCAAGTATTTGAGACAATATTTATTATACAGTAAATTTACTCATGTGGTCTTAAAATTGGAAGTACATGACTTGATATGGACTTGGAATTTCTGTTGACTTTCATGCATTATTTACATGTATAATATTGCTATGTTTGTTAATACTCTATGAAAAAAATGGCTTTGTTGAATCAAAAAACTCAGGATTTATTTGTCAAAGAATGAAAGAAGAAACTCTGAAGACAAAGAGTGTCACAATATGTTGTGAGATGTGAATTGCTATTCATGCCATTTGAGTCATGGATATTATCTCACCAACAAAATTAGGGTTATCACTGGATTGAATTGGGTTTGAAAGAATGTCAAATCTCTTAGTCTGAGCTTAATGGTAATATTCTTTTAAAACATGGAGACTAGATTTACTAATTTCTCTTTGGGAGAAAATAAATAAAAGTTAGCCAGCACACAAAAGACTCTGTAGAAACTTAAAAAAATGAATTTAAACTCAACTGTTTCCAGTACATAACCAGGGCCCTTAGAAGAGTCTGTAAGTTGCCTCATCCCTTTCTTGTTTTCTGTTCAGCTGGATTAAAAATGAAGTGCCACCAGGGCCCATGCACATAAAAATGAGTATATTAGAACGAATAGCAAATACTGAGAGATGTTGTGGAAGACAATGGAGTAGATGGTCATGTGATTTGTATCTGGAATGTGACAACGTCCTATCTTGTCATTTTTTTCTGATCAATTCTCTATCCCAGCATTCCCAACTTCTCAAAGAATAGGATATTAAGATAGGATCTTATATGTGACATATCATGGCTTTGCTTGTTCACTCAAATTTAAAAAGAAGGAACATAACAAAGACAGACCAAAAGGAGGCACACAAAACATTCAATGAATTAAGTCAAGTCTTAAGTAGACAATTCCCCACATATAGGTGCCCTGTCAATGTTTTAAACAACACACTTATAAAATCATAGGGAAAAAAACCAAATCACTCTTACCTAAGTTCCCCCTTCCATTAAAAATGTCATAGTATCTTAGGGGAGGTAATAGAAATAGCACACACACACACACACACACAAACACACCAGTTAAGCTTATTTCTGAATTCCAGAATCCAGAAAGACAAGAGCCAGAAAGCAAAGAGAGAACCAAGTGAGGCAGGAGGGTGTTCCTACTATATATCATGTTATTAAAATATTGTTCTTGATACTTCCTATGACTGGCAATTTATGCCAGGAATTTATTACCATCTCCTCCTTAATTCAAGTTTTCTGCATATCTTTATGCTGTATTAATCCCATAAGGCAGCAATGAATAAAGTTAATGGATCAACAGGAATTAAGACTCTGAAGTTAAGTTCAGGTACATATCTATCTTGTCACATGATTGCTATTGAATAAAGTAGTTCTAACAGACCCACCACTGCTTTGTATCTTGTCTTGTTTAAGATTCCTTTTACAGATCTGTCCTAGACTGACTCTCTCTTTGCTCATCTGTCAAAACCTTCCTAGTCATACTCCCATATATTCCATTGTACTTAGTGACATTGTACTTACAGTTGCTCATATGTCTCTCTTCCCTAGGAGAATTGAGAGTTTTGAGGCCAGAAGTAATCTTTAAAACTGTTGTGTTCTGAGGAGGCAGTATGGAATAGTAGAATTTAGAGTTAGACCATAATGGCATCTGAAGAATGGATATGCTTTGCCTAGTACTCATAGCAAAGAAATAGACAATTTACATGTCAGAGTAAGTATATACGTATGTGCAGGTGTAGATAAACATGTGTAAGTGCCTGCACATGAGTTAACATGTTTGCATGATTTCCAGTGTATAACCTGTCATGAATATGTCATGTGTATTGTGCTT